GTTCGAGGCTGGTAAGTCCAGAGCAACCCTCCACGCCCGCGGCGGGGCCGCAGCCGCGCCGGCGCGGCACGAACCCACAGGGGGGAGGGGGCCGACCGCAAGAGAGGCCTTCCACAGGGAAGCCCAGCCCTCTGAGACACCAGGACGTCCACGGGTTTTTTTTCGGTGTGGGCGCGTGGCGCTCGCCAACGCAGAGCCATCGAGACCCAAGAGACCCAGGGCACCCTGGAGGCAAGCAGGGTGTCTCTTGGCACGGGTCTCCACTATACCATGCCCAACGTCCTGGCACGCCTCCCCCGAGAGCCGATGCCGCGCACTTAAAAAGTGCAGCAGCATGCAGCGTCGGCGACACGACGAGAGCCGCGGACGCTGTCTTCTTCTTGTGGCGGCCTTCGGGCCACCGATCCGTGAGGACCCCGGGGCGCGCCGCCGGGCGAAACCGCCTGGCCCGGAAAGAAGATTGGGACGCCAGTGCCTCAGGGCCGGCCGGCCCTTCCCCTTCCCCTTCCTTCCGCGCGCGCGCGCGCTCTTCCCCCCCGGGGGAGGCGGCGCGGAGCTCCGCGCAGCGCCGCGGCCGACGGTGCGGGCCCGCTTCCGGGGGAGCAAATCGAGCTGCGCAAGCACACAAGACTGAAGGGGCCCCAGGACACACAAATAAATACACACAAATAAAACTGTTCCCCATATTTTCTGATATTTTCTGGGTTTCTGTCTTCCCCCCCACTTCCCATATTTTCCCATATTTTCTGGGGAATCGCCGATTAATTGTGTTTGTGTGTGTTTTTTCCCTCCTGAAAGACTCCCGGAGGCCCGCGCGGAGCCCCTGCCTCGGCGCTGGGCCCCCCGCCCTATGGCGCGTGCCGCTGGAGGCGCCGCCGGCGAGCCCAGCGCCGACTCAGGAGCGCAGCGAGGACCTGGGAAGGCTCATGTTCCTCGAATCCTGAGCGTTTTCTTAGTCGGCGTCTCGACCTTAAGCGAAAAGGGGGGAGGGAGGGGGGGGGTCTGGTTCCAGACCTCTCCTTGGCGCCACTGTTTGCGACAGCGCATGCGTCCTGTTGGGGGAGGCTCCACCGGCTCGGCACAGGCGCCCGCAACGGCCGATCTCTACTCCATGGGTGGGGGGGAAGGGAGGGTGCGAGGGCCCGCGCCGATCGCCACAACAATGAATTAAAAAAACGATCACACCCTTTGTTCGATAGGGGGATCGACTGCAGAATCGATATATCCCAAACTTGACTCTCACGTCGACCCCCCCACAAAAATACACGAACCAGTCGCAGACCTGCGAAAAATCTCTACGAACTGCCCGTGGACTCGACAAGAAACATCAAAATCCTGGGGCAAACCAATGCCGCAGCCGCTCCCCCACGCAGTTAAAATACACGAACCACTCGTAGACCTGCGAGAAGTTCTACGCACTGCCCGTGGATTCGACAAGAAACATCCATTCCGGGGCAAACCAGTGCCGCATAGTTCGGGAGCGGCCAAGAGCTAGGGGGGTGTCCAAGAGGGGGGGTGTGCAAATCATGACCGGCGGCATGTGCGCGGCCCAGCGCGGGGGCCAGGGACGTAATGAAAGAAGGAGAGGCGCCATGGAATCTGGGGAACTATCATGGCCCCCGCCATGTCGGGCGAAAGGGGGGGATAGCAAAGGGGGGGTTTGAGAATCAGCTCACGTAGCTGATTTTCCCGGCGCCTCCCGGCGCCGGAGGCGGCTATGTATCGAGGAATGGGCTCCTCGGTGAGGCCAAAATCAGCTGCATGCAGCAAATTTCGTAACCCCCCCTTTCCCAATCCCCCCCTTCCCCCCGACCCGATAGTCATCACCCCCCTCTTTGCCGCCCCCGAATAGTCGATCCCCCGCTCGATTTGCTCCCCCAGGCTTCGCTGCCGGGCCGCCCGCGGCCCCGCCCGCGGCCGCGGTGGCCTGCCGGGCGTCGGCGGCGCCGTCGACGCCGCCGACGCCGCCGTCGCCGCCGTGGCCGCCGCCGCCAGGCGCCGGGGCGCTCCCTGGGCGCGGAGGGCGGCCTCGGAGGGCGGGGGCTCGCAGGAGGGAGAGGCCTCCTCCTCCTCCTCCTCCTCCTCCTCCTCCTCCTCCTCCTCCTCCTCGGATGCGGGGGCTCGCAGAGGGAGAGGCTGTATGGCCCTGGCCATGGCAGGGTATAGCCCCCTCCGTGAGCAGGAGGCGAGGGGGCAAGGGCGAGGACAGGGATCGGGTGGGAGGGGATCGAGAACATCTCTGGGATCTGGCGGCTCCGGAAGATGCATCGGGTGCCGCGGCCTTCTCAGAGCGCTCCCGGACGTTCTGAGAGCGTTCCAGAAAGCTCTGGAACGAGCTCGTCCTCGCCCCAGCCCCGTCCGAGAGCACATAATCATAACCCCCCCTTGGACAACCCGAATCGTGAAGGCTTCCCAAATGGGGCTGGAGCAGATGGGGTCGGAAAACCGCGCCGCGACAGAGGGGCATGCGTCGAACATGTGCCGCGGCACACGAGACCGTCCGAAAACCCAGCCTCCCCTGCACCCCCCCACCCATCACGTTGCCCCCGACCGCGTGTTCGCGCCGCGGCGACGGCCGTTGGCGGCAGCGGCGGGGTAGCCGCGGCGTCGACGGCAATGGCAGCCGAGAGCTGGCTGCCTGGCCGCCCGCGGCCTGGCCTCCTCCTCCTCCTCCCCCTCCTCCTCCTCCTCCTCCCTCCTCCTCTTCCTCCTCCTCCTCCCTCCTCCTCCTCCCTCCTCCCCTCTTCCTCCTCCCCCTCTTCCTCATCCTCCTCCTCCTTCTGCTCACCTCCTTATCCTCTTCCTCCTCCTCCTCCTCCTCCCTCTCCGTCTCCTCCTCTTCCTCCGCCTCCTCCTCCTTTTCCTCCTCCTTCTCCTCATCCTCCGCATCCGCCTCCCCCTCCTCCCTCCTTCTCCTCCTCCTCCTCCTCCTCCTCGTTCTCGTCCTCCTCCCCCTCCTCCTCCTCCTCCTTCTCCTCCTCCTCCTTCTCCTCCTCCTCCTTCTTGTTTTCCCTTCCCCCGCCCGTACCCTCGCACTCGTCCCATCATGGCCTTGGCTGAACTCGGGTCCGGATCGCCGCCGATCATAAATAATTGCGCGCCGCGGCGACGGCCGGCGGCGGCCGCGGCAGACAGCCGGCCGCGGCGGCCGCGGCGGCCGCGGCGGCCGCGGCGGCCGAGACCGGCCTCGGCCGCGCGCGCCGCAGGCGCGGCGCCCTCGGCGGCTGCCGGGCGGGCGGCGCCCTCGGGCGGCCCGCCGCGGGCGCGCAGGAGGGCTCGCCTGGCTCGGCGCGCGGCCGAAGGGCGACCACCACGACGCCGACGCCGCAGGCGGCCCGGGACGACGGCTCGCCGCGGGCGGCGCCGACGAGGACGCCGGCTTCGACGCAGCCGCCGAGGACGGCGCCGACGCGGCCGCCGCCGGCGACGGCGGCGGCCAGCGCAGTGGGACCGTCATGACCACGACCATTCTCGATATCTCCACAGGACCGATCCACGTGTCACGTTCATCGTCATCGCACTCGTCGCCGTCCCACGTGATTAGCAAGGCGACCAACAAAACTCGGCATTCGAAAGAACAACCTTCAAATTTGAAAACATACAAGCCAACAGCGAAGACAACAGCGCCGAATCTCCGGGTTCAAAGCAAATTCAGAATAAAAAATCCGGACCCAAGGCCCTCGATCCTGCTGTCTCCCGCAATCTCAGGACGGCTCGTCCCCCTCCCTCCCCCAAGTCAGCAAATCCCACCAGCCCTCCCGGCGGAGATGGTGTAGAGAGCCCGTTCTGTTCCACCCCCTTCATCCCTTCGGGGAGGGGTTCACCCCTCCCCCTACCCCCTCCGCCTGGGCCTGGAGGGGGGAGCGAAGGTGGTTGGAGCGTCTGTGTTGGCCCAAGATGGCGCCAAGACAGCCCAAGAGAGCTCAAGATGACCTCCAAGATCGCTCAAGACGGCCCTCGATGACTCAAGATAGCTCCTAACAAGCCTACACGAGGTTCCAGACCGCCCCAAGTCGGCCCCAAGTGGCCACGGTACCTCCCAAGGACGGCCATAGTGTTTGCCCGTCTTCTCGCCTTTTCGAATTCAATGGGTTCTTGAGGCTTCAAGATGGCCCCAAGATGCCCCAAGAAAGCTCCAAGACAGGCCCCAGAAAGGCCCAAGACGGGCCCAAGAGAGCCTAAAACCCTCGACCCGCTACAGAAAAATGATCCATCACGACGACCGTGACGACGACGTCGTCGTCGACCTCCGGAAGCCTCACGGGGTCCCGAGAACTCCCGGAAGACCTGCACGGCCCGTGGCGCCGACCGCGCCTAGGAGCCCAGGATCCCCAACAGGCATGCCGTCGAATCTCGAATCCTCGACCAGCGGCGGCGACGACGACGCCGGCGGCAGCGAAGTCGGCGTTGGTGGTCTGACCTCACACACGCCTGGGAGTCTGGGCCGTCCAACGGCGAGCCGTGGATCCTCGATGAGGAAACGACGGACGGCGGCGACGGAGGGCGGCAGCGGACGACTGCCGCGTCAAACGCGTCGGCGTCGGCATGAGCGGCGACGACTGCGTCGACAGCGTCTGCGCCTACTGGGATCGGCTTGGGGCTTGCTCAGGGGATGAGGGGGTGATCACTTGATGCAATAGAGGGTTGTATCTGGCCTACGCTAAATGGGGGGTTCGACATTTCCGCCGAATGGGCGGAGCCCACTTTTCCCAGACCGTGACCCGCCTTTAAGCAAACTGGATGTGTAGCCCACGCAAAAACCAGGTTCGAAAAGTAAGAACCCAACTCGGCATCCACTGATAAAAACGCTCCCATCCATGTAGCCCCCCCCCGCGCCGATCCTGGTATAGGACGGCGGCGGGAACAGGCGACGACGAAGGCGACGAAGGCGGCGGCGACAAACGGCGGCGACGGCCGGTGGCAGCGGACGGCGGCGGCGGCGGCCGGGTCACAGACGCGGCGCGTTCTCCACGGCCACCGCGATGGCAGGCCCCCGCCCGTCAGCGCCTCGGCGGCGGCGGCGGTCAGCGGGCGGACAAGGGTGGTGGTGGTGATGCTGCTGCTGCTGCTCATGTGCGGGCAATACTTCTGTCTATATCCGCTGCAGTATGGAGTTTCGGGCTCCCTTCCCAAGAAACCCGAAGCGCACTGGACATGGATAAAGTTGCCCCCTAGAGGCTCGATGTTTATCCATATCCAGTGCCCCTCGGCCTTAGGTCGCTGCTTCCAAAAAAGTCCGAGAGGCACTGGATATGGAAATGAGTCTTGCACGCATCATGATGAAGTTGGAGATGGAAATGAAGATGTTTGTGTTGATGACAATGGTATTGGTGACGAACAGGTGCGAAGCTTGCAAAGGGTACAGAAGCGGCGCTACGCTGGCAGCACTGGGTCGAAGTCCAGTGCGCCATGCTGATGGTGATGGCGGTGATGATAACGTTGGTGATGTTTATGGTAATGGTTACCACGACGACGGTGTGAATGAGGATGGTGGTGGGTGGTGGTTGTGACAGTCGTACGAGACGGGGCGCGTCCGATTGTTTTTGGGATATTCCAATATTGTGCGGGGGCTCCACTCACCGAACCTCCACTCAATGAGCCCGTCACCACTTCTCCTCCACTTCTGGCGGTCCTACACAAAAATGATCCACTCGATCTCTGGAGGCGATACAGCCGCGCGAACTGATACTCCCGAATCGACTGCCACATGACTGTACGAAATCCTTGTTTCACTCTCTCTCTCTCTCGTCGTTTCCCTCTCTCTCTCTCTCGCTTGTTTGTTCACTCTCTCTCCCTGTCTCTCTCTCTCTCTCTCTCTCTCTTCTCTCTATGCTATCTCACAGCGTGTACCCCTACCTTTCAACAAACATGATACCTGAGAAAACCCCAATCAGTCCATGTTTTGAAAATTAATACTATGAAGATTGAACTCGATTGTGAGATCGATAATGAAATCGATCGCGAAGTCGCTCATGCGATCTCTACTGGGATCGCTTGTGAGATCGATAATGAGATCGATTGTGAGATCGATGGTGAGATCGATCGAGAAATGGGTAACGAGATCGATGGTGAGACCGATCGATGAGAAGATCGACCAGGAACCCAGGAACCCGGGAACCTCGCCGCCCTCCGAAATCGGCCCGGAACCCGGAGCCGGGAACCCGGAACCCAGAACCGGGAACCTGGGAACCCAACGTGCGACCAAAATCGGCGGGAAACTTGCGTCAAATCCTTCAACTGCCGCGAGGACCCCTTCAGTGCAAGCACTGATTGGGGAATGTATGGACCAAACTCGAGTCCGAATTGTTCAAAACTTCCCGTGCGACATGCCCGCAGATCTTCGAAGCCGTCTCCAGGCCATAACATCGATTGCGTGAGCTCGGTTCTTAGAGGAGGAGGGAGGGGTGGAGCGGGGAAAGAATCTCCGGATCCATTCTCGACCAAATATTTGATACGGACATATGGCGGGTTTAAGACTCATGGTTGGCGCTTCCATCGTTAATAGATCCCGGGGGTAAAACACATCGGGGGGGGAGTGCCTGGGGAAAGAGGGAGGGGAAAAAGAGGAGGCAGGGCATTGGAGAGGGGCGGGTAACAGCAGCAGCAGCAGCAGCTGTTGCAGCAGCAGCCGTAGTGGTAGTAGTAATGGTAGTGGTCGTAGTAGTAGTAGTCGTAGTAGTGATACGATTAGAAGTAGTAGAAGTAATCGTAGTTGTAGTAATAGTAATACTAGTAGAAGTGGTACGAGTAGTTGGCATTTAGTAGTTAGGAGTTAGTAGTTAGTAGTAGTAATAGTAGTAGTAGTAGTAGTAGTAGTAGTAGTAGTAGTAGTAGTAGTAGTAGTAGTAGTAATAGTAGTAGTAGTAGTAGTAGTAGTAGTGGTAGTAGTAGTAGTAGTAGTAGTAGTAGTAGTAGTAGTAATAGTAGTGGGTACCCCCCCCCAGGACCCTGCACAATTTTCTTACATATCATCTTGGGCGGGTGTAAGCTTGAATGGGTTTCGTCGGCGGCCCTTGTGTGTAGCTTCCGTGAGCACTGCTTCCAAACAGCAGGGCGGTTGTCTGGAACCGACCTCTCATTGATATGACATTGTGAAAACACGGTAAAATCCAATATTTCAGATTTTCCAATTCTCTGGGTACGAACCCTCGCTGATGCGGCAAATGGGAATATTCCAATTCTCGAACCCCCGTTGATGCGGCAGAAAGAAAACACTGTGAAATCCAATTTTTCAAATTTTTCCAATTCTCAGGCGCCGAACCTCGCTGGTGCGGCGGAGGAAAACATTGCAAAATCCAATTTTCCAAATTTTCCAATTCTGTGGCGCTGAACCGCCTGCAACATCGATGAGGATTCAGTCTCAGAGAATTGGAAAAATTGGAAAAATTGGATTTCACAGTGTTTTCTTTCTGCCGTACCTGCGAGGGTTCGGCGCCTGAGAATTGGAAGATTGGTGCAATTGGATTTTACAGCGGATTAGCCAATCCAGAACCGACACCTTTGGGAGGAGGAGGAACCCTGCTGGGTTGGTTCCCTTGCCCAAGCTGATATGTAAGAAAATTGTGCAGGGTCCTTGGGGGGGAACCCGTAGTAGTAGTAGTAGTAGCAGTAGTAGTAGTAGTAGTAGTAGTAGTAGTAGTAGTAGTAGTAGTAGTAGTAGTAGTAGTAGTAGTAGTAGTAGTAGTAGTAGTAGTAGTAGTAGTAGTAGTAGTAGTAGTAGTAGTAGTAGTAGTAGTAGTAGTAGTAGTACCTCCCCCAAGGACCCTGCACAATGTTCTTACATATCATCTTGGGCGGGTGTAAGCTTGAATGGGTTTCGTCGGCGGCCCTTGTGTGTAGCTTCCGTGAGCACTGCTTCCAAACAGCAGAGCGGTTGTCTGGAACCGACCTCTCATTGATATGACATTGTGAAAACACGGTAAAATCCAATATTTCAGATTTTCCAATTCTCTGGGTACGAACCCCCGCTGATGCGGCAAATGGGAATATTCCAATTCTCGAACCCCCGTTGATGCGGCAGAAAGAAAACACTGTGAAATCCAATTTTTCAAATTTTTCCAATTCTCAGGCGCCGAAGCTCGCTGGTGCGGCGGAGGAAAACATTGCAAAATCCAATTTTCCAAATTTTCCAATTCTGTGGCGCTGAACCGCCTGCAACATCGATGAGGATTCAGTCTCAGAGAATTGGAAAAATTGGAAAAATTGGATTTCACAGTGTTTTCTTTCTGCCGTACCTGCGAGGGTTCGGCGCCTGAGAATTGGAAGATTGACGCAATTGGATTTTACAGCGGATTAGCCAATCCAGAACCGACACCTTTGGGAGGAGGAGGAGGAACCCTGCTGGGTTGGTTCCCTTGCCCAAGATGATATGTAAGAAAAGTGTGCAGGGTCCTTGGGGGGGGAACCCGTAGTAGTAGCAGTAGTAGTAGTAGTAGTAGTAGTAGTAGTAGTAGTCGTCGTAGTCGTAGTCGTAGTAGTAGTAGTAGTAGTAGTAGTAGTAGTAGTAGTAGTAGTAGTAGTAGCAGTAGGAGTAGTAGCAGTAGTAGTAGTAGTCGTCGTCGAAATAGTGGTAGTAGTAGTAGTAGTAGTAGTAGAAGTAGTAGTAGTAGTAGTAGTAGTAGTAGTAGTAGTAGTAGTAGTGGTAGTAGTAGTAGTAGTACTACTACTACTAGTAGTAGTAGCAGTAGTCGTAGTAGTAGTAGTAGTAGTAGTAGAAGCAGAAGTAGTAGTAATAGTAATAGGAGTAGGAGTAGTAGTAGTATTAGGAGTAGAAGTAGCAGGAGTAGGAGGAGGAGGAGGAGGGGGAGGAGAAAGAGTGGAAGGCGAAATTTTAATAGTAGTAGAAGTAGTAGTAGTAGTAGTAGTAGTCGTAGTAGTAGTAGTAGTAGTAGTAGTAGTAGCAGTAGTAATGTCAGAATGAGAAATTGTAGTGCTTGTAGTTGATGTAGTAGTAGTAGTAGTGCTGCTAGTTGTCCTAGTCTCACTCGTCGTCGAAGTAGTCGTCGTCGTCGTCGTAGTAGTTGTCACAGTAGTAGTAGTAGTACTAGTGGTAGTAGCAGTAGTAGTAGTAGTAGTAGTAGTAGTAGTAGCAGTAGAAGTAGTAGTAGTAGTAGTAGTAGTAGTAGTAGTAGTGGTAGTAGTAGTAGTAGTAGTAGTAGTAGTAGTAGTAGTATTTCTTCGAAAACAAAAACTGTTGGTAATAGTGTGGGTCGTCGTGATAGTATCAGCAGTAGTAATGGTAGTCGTACTACTATGAAAACAAGCAGCACAACAATCGCAAACATGAAAAGAATAACACACGTAGTCACAATACGAGTCGCAATAGCTGTAGTAGGAGTTGAAATCGTAGGAATGGTAAAAATAGTCGTAGGCGTAGTTGTCGTAGTCGTAGTAGTGGTGGTGGTGGTAGTAGTTGTAACAGTATTAAGTGGTAGTAGAAATACCAGTAATAGTAGTAGGCTTGGGTCGTAATAGTAATAGTAGTAGTAGTAGTCGCTGTAGTTGCAGTAGTCCGAGTGCGAACGTGAATCGTAGTCGTAGTAGCAGTAGTAGTAGTAGTAGTCGTCGTCGTCGTAGTGGTGGTGGTAGTAGTAGTAGTAGTAGTAGTAGTAGTCGTCGTAGTAACCCTCGTAGAGATTAGTGGTAATAGTAGTAGCCGTCGTCGTCGTACTAATAGGGGTAGTAGCTGTAGTCGTCGTAGCGGTAGTCGTGGCAACGATGGGAATTATCCGTAGCACTTGGGTCAGCAGTGGTAGCCGTCGTAGAATACGATTCAGCAGTCGTACTAGTAGCAGTAGTCGCAGTCGGGGAGATTAGTCGTACTAATGATACGGATAACAAGCATCATAGTAGCAGTCGTCATAGTAGTAATTATAGTAGTAGTCGTCGCCATCGTAGTCGTAGTAGTATTGACGCAGGAACTTGAAAGTAAAACAGAATAGAAGAAACGATAGGAATAGAGCAAATCGCAGCAATAGCTGTAATTTCAACCGTAGTAGTAGAAATAGTTGTAGTGGTTGTTGTTCACGATGTAGGATGTTTCATTGGCGACACAGCATTCTAAATATGGCGGTTTAGATTAATACTTCCCCGAGCGGTAATGAAGTTCGGCCTCCTCGCCCCATTCCCCAAACCGACTCTGTCTTTGTCCGGGATAGTTCACTCCCAGGGGTTTAGGAAGGGGTCCCTTGACTACTCTGGATGAGCAGTTATCCAAGAAAGCCATGCCCAGGTTGTTGTCAACACAACCCTTCCAAACTGGATGCAAACAATCAGTCAAACCTATTCTGGAGAAAGCTGGTCTTTAAGCAGATCCTTGAAGCACCCCTCGAGTGATAGGTTCAGTCGCAGCCGTATCACCGCACGTGTGTACCTTGTATCGTGTAGATCTCATATACCGCAGAAGCCAAGACATGGATGTATCTGGGTACGTCACACGATGTCGCAAGCTTGGAAGGGCTCGAAGATGACACACGCTGACAAAAGCCTTGGGGTAATTCGCCGATGAACGTACCACCCCAATCTTCTTCGCATGCATGTTTGAGCCATCAACACCGTATAAGGCTTAAGTCGGGCGTGTCCTCCTACAGGGGGATTTTCAACGAAAAATGAAAAATGCCCCAAACATACCCCAACAAAAATCAACAAATACGCAAAACAATAATCCCCTGACTATGTTTGGATTATGTATTGATTATTCTTGGGGTATGTTATTATTCTTCGTCGAAATTCCCCCTGCAGGGGGACACGCCCGACCTCATATAAGGCCGATAATGATAGTGGATTTGACGATGACGTGAAGGCCAACGCTCCCTTCTATGAAGGAACTAAAAGTGGCATAAACATAAAACTCTGAGGTCCGCGCGGATTACTCGGATCGGCGCTGGACCCCCCTCCCTGGCGCGCGGAGCACGCCAGGGGCGGCGCCGGAGGCGCCGCCAGGGGGCCCCAGCGCCGATCCGAGAAATCCGCACGGACCTCAGAGTTTTCATGTTTATGTCACTTGTTGTTCCCCTATTCTATGCAACAGATCTGGCAACCCTGTCCGAAGGCCGGGCGGCCTGACGTCGCCACCCCCAGGGCGCGGAGGAGCGCGCAAAGGCGGCCCGTGTGCACACGACTGCACACGACGAATGCCGCCCTAGCATCTGTGCACAACCTCTTGCCGACAGCAATGCCTCTTGGATTAGAGTACAATCAAAAACCCTAACAAGGACGCGCGGTGAGGACGCAAGACCCTTGGAAGCCGAAGTTGGTATTTTGGGGGCGGCGGACGACGAAAATCCCAAGGACGCAAGAGCAAGGAAGAGCAAGGACGCAAGGGTACACTGAGCAAAGTCGCGCGTCCTAATTAGGGTTTTTGACTGTAATGCGGCTGATGAGGGCAGAGTCGAGGGGGGTCAAGAGGAGAGGGTAGGAAGGAGGGGACGAAGAAATGGGGAGGGCTCGGGGTTGCGGCGCGCTGCGGGCATGGTGGTCCAGCGAAGGCAGGAGGGGAGGACGGGGAAAGAGAAGGGATAGGCGGGAGGAGGACGAAGATAGGAGGGGGAGGAAGAGGAGGACGGAGAACAGGAGGGGTAGAAGGGATTAGGAGGCAAAGACGAGCGGCAGAATTCGGGGCGGATGGGGGGATGGGAGAAGGGCATGCAGGAGGAGGAGGAGGTGGAGGAGGGGGAGGAGAGGAAACGGTAAGGGAGAGAATGAATGGGGAGGAGTGAGAGAGGCGGGCATCAGGGGCGAGAGGATGGAGTGGGCAGAAGAGAAGGTGGAGCAGGAGGGCGAGGTTGAGGATGGGGCCGAATCGCGCCGAGGTGAGCCCCGGCGCACCAACCCCTGTCCGTGACCAGCATCTTGACATACGATCTTCACAGAATTCTGTACGGGGTTTGACCCGTCGGAGGGGCAGGAGGGGGGGGAGGTGGGGGAGGGGGAAGAGGGGGAAGAGGGGGAGGGGGACGGGAGGAGGAGGGAGGGGGAGGGGGACGGGAGGAGGAGGAGGAGAAGGAGGAGGAGGAGGAGGGGGAGGAAAGTGAGGAGGAGGAGAAGGAGGAGCTCAACCATCCGGACCAACCCTTGTCCGCGACGAGCCCCCTCCGCGACGAGCCCCTCGGCCTGGAGATGCCCCTCGCTGGAGAATCTGCGGACACCCTTCCCAGGCCAAAATTGTCCTCAAAGCACGTGCCGGCGCACCAACCCCTGTCCGTGACCAGCATCTTGACATACGATCTTCACAGAATTCTGTATGGGGTTTGACCCGTCGGAGGGGCAGGAGGGGGAGGAGGTGGGGGAGGGGGAAGAGGGGGAAGAGGGGGAGGGGGACGGGAGGAGGAGGGAGGGGGAGGGGGACGGGAGGAGGAGGAAGAGGAGGAGGAGGAGGGGGAGGAGGAAAGTGAGGAGGAGGAGGAGGAGGAGGAGGAGCTCATCCATCCGGACCAACCCTTGTCCGCGACGAGCCCCCTCCGCGACGAGCCCCTCGGCCTGGAGATGCCCCTCGCTGGCAGCCCCTCGCGCCGAGGTGAGCCCCCCAGTCACAACGAAGAATCTGCGGACAACCTTCCCAGGCCAAAATTGTCCTCAAAGCACGTGCCGGCGCACCAACCCCTGTCCGTGACCAGCATCTTGACATACGATCTTCACAGAATTCTGTATGGGGTTTGACCCGTCGGAGGGGCAGGAGGGGGAGGAGGTGGGGGAGGGGGAAGAGGGGGAAGAGGGGGAGGGGGACGGGAGGAGGAGGGAGGGGGAGGGGGACGGGAGGAGGAGGAAGAGGAGGAGGAGGAGGGGGAGGAGGAAAGTGAGGAGGAGGAGGAGGAGGAGGAGGAGCTCATCCATCCGGACCAACCCTTGTCCGCGACGAGCCCCCTCCGCGACGAGCCCCTCGGCCTGGAGATGCCCCTCGCTGGCCGCCCCGCCCGCCCTGCCGAGCGATCGCGAGGGCGCCGACACGGCACGGCAGAGGCCGGCTTCCGGTCGGCCGTCTTCGGCGGCAGATCATGGCAGCCTCCCGTGCCATCTTGTCGGCTCTTGCGAATCGACGCGAATTGACGCTAGATCGATACCGATCAATCGACGCTGAACTGACGCCAATCGACGCTAACCGACGCAAAATCGGTGCTACCTCATCGACTCTCAGACGCTAATCGAAGCTAACAAAAAAAGCTCCCATGGTTTGCCACCGAATTCGTCGATGCGAATCGACCCGTGACAGAAGGACGCACGACAAAGATGCAAGTGCCTTGGATGGCCGTGTCGAAGCTTCTCGAGCGGGGCGCGGCCAACGAGAGTGGCCGAGGATGGGCCGAGGAGGCAAGGATGCAGGGGTACACTTGGGAAGCTTGCCGGCTCTTACTATGCGGGTTGACTGTAGCTTTTCGGCTACACGCAGGAGTCACCCTGGGCAAGAATGACCTTTAGAGGCGCGGGGGAGCCAGACTCAAGGTAGCAAACCGCTGCTATCGCACCGTGCACCATTGGGAACGCAATGGGCACGCACCAACGGTCCGTCTGGCGAAGGGTCGCTCGTACGTGTAGCCGAGTTGGTCGTCGCGAAACCATGTCTAACGATCCCAGTGCCCGAAAACGGCCCCTGTGCTCTGAAAGCCAAGTGAAAACGCCTGGAGTGATAAAACAACAAATCGTCGAAGATCTGTGGACCGCTTGCTGCAAGGGGCCGGCGGACCAATCCTGGGGTGAGTTTTGACTTGAATCCCACCAGCCCTCTGGGCGTCGGTGGTCCAGGGAGTTTCCTGTTCCAACCCCCTTCTTTCCCTTCGGGGAGGGGTTTACCCCTCCCCCATACCCCCTCCTCTAGACCTGGACGGTGCGCCCCGCGAGGTGGCAGAGAGTATTTGCTCGCCCAAGATGGCTCCAAGAGGAACTCGGAGAGCTCAAGCTGATCTTCAAGATGGCCCAAGATTGCCCTAGATGCCTCAAGATGGCTCCCAAGAGGCTGCAAGAGGCCCCAAGAACGTTCAACGACGACTCCGAGGAAGCCTCCGAGACCTCCAAGGAGGCTCAGAAGCCACAATTCGTCGAATACCTGAGGACAAGCAATGCTGTGCTTTCTCGCCTTTTCGTTTCCGATGGCAATACGAGTCCTCAAGATGGCTCCAAGAAGACCCAGGAGAGGCACAAGAGAGCCCCAAGACGGCCCCACGAGCGCCCAAGAGCGCTCCAAGAGCGCCCCAAGAGCGCCCCGAAAGGCGACTTTTTGGGCTCCCGGGGCGGGGGGCCTAATTGAAGCTCCCTTCTGTTTTGATCGATGTCCTCCAAGATGGCCCCAAGAGCGCCCCAAGAGCGCCCAGAAGAGCGCCCCGAGTGCCCCGAAGCTCCCAAGAGCGCCCCAAGAGGGCCCCCACAGGTGCCCAGACGGCCCCAAGAGGCGCCCAAGATGCCTCAAGAGGCTCCCAAAAGACCCCCACGAGGCTTCAGGAGGATCCCCGAAGCACCTGTCTCTTCCTCCTTCCTCCTTTTCACCCTCCTGCTCCTCCTCCTCCTCCTCCTCCTCCTCCTCCTCCTCCTCCTCCTCCTCCTCCTCCTTCCCTCTTCCTCCCCCCTCATTCCCCAATGCGCCCCGGGGAGGGGCCCGGCCGCGGCGTCCCGGGGAGGGGCCCGGCCTGGCGAGGCCCACAGCAGGCCGCCGAGCTCCGCGGCGCGGGCGCGCGCCAGCTCGAACTCCGCCGCCTGGGCGCGGGCGCAGCGCGGCGGCCACGACCCGACGAGCCGAGGATCGAGGATCGAGGATCAGGATCGAGGAGCGAGGATCAGGATCGAGGATCGAGGATCAGGTCTGGCACATCCTCCTGCAGGTCTGGCACATCCTCTCGAGGATCCGAGGATCGAGGATCGGGTCGGCCCTGTCCTCCTACAGGCGTGCTCTGAACGACTCATTTTTTTAGCGTTTTGCCGAACAACAAAAAAAACACGGAGCAAAAATGTCCAGACACCTGTCAGGAAATACTCACAAAGTCGTCCCTGGAGCATGTTTGGACCATTCTTGCATATTCCTCCTGTGGAGAGCAACGCGCCCGAAGCAAAAACACGCAGATCGAGGATCCAGGCTCCAGGTTCTGGGCCGTCGTTCCGCCCTCCTCCTGGCCATCGCTCGGACGTCCATTCCCTGTGATTTTGTTCGGTTTCGTGCGTGGTTTTTCGGCCAAGTGATCAAGGATGCTCCTCGATGGTCCTCGCCGTCCGCGCGATGCCAAGCCTCGTGGCCCTCCGCCCGCGGGCGCGGCGGCCACGGCCACGCGCAGGGCCTCCGACGCTCCGGCCCCGTCTGCCCGTCGGTCCGCGCAGGTCCTCTCGCCGCTCGGGGACGCTTCCCGGCAGCCGCGCCCCGCCGGGGGCGCCCCTTAAGACCCGAGCGCCGGCCTGCTGGGGGCCCCAAGGGCTCCCCGCTGCGCGCTGCGCGCTGCTCGAAGCGCGAAGAACTCCGCGCCCTCGCGCCGCCTCCTCGGGGAGAGGAGGAGGAGGAGGAGGAGGAGGAGGAGGAGGAGGAGGAGGAGGAGGAGGAGGAGGAATCGGAGCCGAACCGCGAAGCGCGAGTAACTTCGCGCCCTCGCGCCGCCTCCCAGGGGAGACGAGGAGGAGGGGGAGGAGGAGGAGGAGGAGGAGGAGGAGGAGGAGGAGGAGGAGGAGGAGGAGGAGAAGCGCGGAGCGCGGAGCGCGAATGACTTCGCGCCCTCGAGGGCGCCCTCGGGGCCCAGGCCTCCGACGGCATGGCTTCCTTCAAGCCGGGGCGAGGGCTCCTCGGCCGCGGCCTCGGGGGCCCGCCATCGGGGCCTGGGGCAGTACAGCACACACACACACACAACCCAGTGATGGGCCTGTTTTCCACCACCACCACCATAACTTTGGGGGGGAAGGAGGAGGAGGAGGACGAGGAGGGAGGAGGAGGAGGAAAAGTAGGAGGAGGACCCCCTCCCCCTCCAACTGGTAGGAGTAAAAGTAGGAAGAGGAAAGTAGGAGGAGGAGGAGGAGGAAAAGTAGGAGTATGGTGGGGGTGGTGGTGGAAAACAGGCCTAGGGGAGCGGTCGGGACCTACAGTCGGGACCTTCAGGAACGAGGCCCGATGTCCCACAACCTCCACTTCGACCTCCCAGCGAAAAACCTGAGGACAACCTGAGGGGCAGGCTGCGGAGCAAGTCGGGACCATGGAGCCCCTCCCCAACGAGACGGGTTCCTTCTGCAGCGCCCCGACTGTACTGGGGCGGCGGATCGACAGCAGCAGCTCGGCGGGACTCTCCAGGGACTGCGGCGGCGGTGCCGCCCACGGTCGGCGGCAGCGGCGACGGAGCGGCGACGGAGCGGCGGCGAAGCGACCGCCATGAGCGGCAAACGCTTCCGCGCCCACGCCCTCGCGGTCTGAACTCTGGGGCGCTCGTCCTCCTCCTCCCTCCTCCTCCTCCTCCTCCTCCTCCTCCTCCCTCCTCCTCCTCCTCCTCCTCCTCATCTCTCCTCCTCCTCCTCAACCTCTCCTAATTACTCCTCCTCCTCCTCCTCCTCCTCCTCTCTCCTCCTCCCCTCCTCCTCCTCCTTGGATGCGTGGTCCACGGATGCGCTGCGCGCGGGGCATCCGCGATAAAACGCCCCGCGTCTACGGGGTCGCGGCCCTGGGGCACGCCGACCTGCGACGAGCGCCTCCGAACGACTTCGACGACCCGGCGACGATCCAGACATCCGCCGATATTGAAAGGGCCCTGGAACACACAAATAAATACACACAAATAACACATTCCCCCATGTTTTCCCGCATGTTCTGGGTTTCTGTCTTCCCCCCCACGTCCCATATTTTCCCGCGAGTCGACGACTAATTGTGTCTGTGTGTTTTTCCCCCTCCTGAGCCTTGCATATTCCAACTCGAGACCCACCGAGTCCCGAGGCGGTCTCGGGGGCCTAGCTTCTCGCGCTGGGTGATTGCTTGCTTCCTCCAGGGCCCGATGACCGGCACCAGAGGCCGAACGGAGGAACAAACACCACATTCAGCAAAACAGGCACCGCCGGAGAGCAGGGGAGCAGGAGAAGGACGACGACCGGCGGCGACGCCGACGACGGCGGCCGACGACCACCACGACGACGGCCACCGCGACGACCGACGGCGACGACGGCCAGCGACATCGACTTCGACTTCGACGACGACCCGAGACGACCGACGACGACCGGCGACGACGTCGACCGCCGACGAGCGGCGACGACGACCGCCGACGAGCGGCGACGAGCGGCGACGACCGCCGGCGGGGCGGCGGCCTCCGACCCGTCGGCGGCCCACTCGAACACGGCCGCCCTCTGCACGCAGAGCCGCCCGGCGCCCCCCACGCCGCGGCCCACGGGCGGAGATAGGGGGAGGCCGCCGCTGCCGCGGGCGGATCGTCGCGGCCGTCGCCGTGGCCGTGGCCGTCGCCGCCGTGGCTCAGCCACGCGCATGAGGGGGGCGGAGGGGAGGGGGGAGGGCTTCTCAGAAGCACCCCTGCTCCTCAGGAGGCGCGGGCCTTGTATCTATAGGTGTGTGAGGCCGGCGCCCTCTCAGAAGCAGCCTCCTTCAACGAAGTCCTCCCCCCTCCCCTCCGCCCCCTTGTGCGCACCACCAAATGGTCGTCGCCGCGGTCGTCTTCGCCGGTGCGGCCTGGGCCTGCGGGGCCCGGTGGTCGCGCCGCGGGGCGCAAAAAGAGAGCGGGAGCGACGGGGGGCTGGCCTCGGAGGGCTCGGGGCCGCGGGGGCCGCGCCGTGCACGAGGGGTACACGGGCGGACGCCGGGGGTCGCCGTCGTGGTCGCGGTGGTGGTCGCCGTGGTCGGGGTCGTGGTCGTCGCCGTCGTGGCGTCGCGGTGGTCGTCGTCGTTGTCGGCGTCGCCGTAGTCGTCGTCGTCGCAGTCATGGCGGTGGCCGTCGTGGTCGTCGTCGTGGTTCTGGTCGTGGGAGTCGCCGTGGTCGCCGTCGTCGGTCACAGTTGTCGTTGTCGCAGAAATCGTCGTCATCGTTGACCGTCGTCCGTCGCCGTCGGCATCTGTCGCCGTCGAGGCTCCAGGACCCAGGATCGAGAATATCGAAGTGTTTGGCAAGTCTCCGGACTCAAGGGGCGTCTGGTTGTCTCTGGTCGATGTCGTCGTCGACAGCGTTGTCAGCGTCATCGGATTCGTCCTCTTCGTCATCGGATGTCAAGGGTCGAGGCTTGAAGATCGCGGCTTTTGATCGCGGTGGTACGATCAACGCCACCACCACCATGATCATCATCACCAGCATCGTCATCATCAGCATCAAAATCGGCATCATCTTCATCATCAGCATCGTCATCATCATCAATACACCACCATAAGCATCATCATCAGCATCATCATCAATATCATCATCGTCAACACCATCATCAGCACAACCATCCTCATCGTCATCGGCATCATCACCAATATCATCATCATAACCACCAACAGCATCATCATCATCACCATCATCATCACCGTCCTCCTTCTCCTCATCATCACCAGCATCTTCTTCCTGATATTCGTCCGCATCCTGATTATTGTCGTCATCGTTGTCCTCGTACTCGTCATTGACATCGTCATTATATTCCTCCTCGTCCTCATCCGCATCATCCCCATCCTCATTGTCATCCTCATCTTCATCCTCATTATCATCATCATCAGCACCACCATCATCGTCATCAGCAGTACCATAATCATAGGGATAGGCATTAGCGTGATCATCATCACCACCATCACTATCATCACCATCAACATCATCAACATCAACAGCATTATCATCAGCATCTCTAGTATTATCCTGGTGAGGGTAAGAGGGGAGCATGAATGGGAGGAACCATGGGGTAGAAGCGATCGGCGATGGGGGGGGGCGGTTGAAGGTGGCAGGCAGGGAAGAGGGAAAGGCAGGAAGGGGGGGGGGCGGTGCAGCAGCGCCTCTGGTGGGGTTCCGCGCGGCCAGGGCGGCAAGCGCCATCGCACTGGCGGGGGACGTCGACCCAGACCGTCGTGTCTGTTTGTAACGTGGACCCCCAGATGTCTGGACCCCTTCCTGGGCACGGGCATTTATTTTATTTCGAACAGTCTTTCTTTGAAAAACGGTAACATCCCCAGAAACCATAAAAGGCGAACAACCTGGAGTCGTGAATTTTTGCCACTCGAGGAGGGCTGGCGCAGACGTCAGGGGGGCGTCGACGAAGGCAGTCCCATGAGATCCGATGTTGCGAACAAGTTGCAACATTTTGAAAAGCACAGCCAGAGCCCCAGACCCTTTTTGTTCTGCTCCATTTTCATGGACACACCAATCTGTGAGGGCCCCAGAACCCGAATTTGGGCGCAAAAGCGCGGCTCGAAAGGCATGCGACGCCAGGATCTCAGCGCCTGTCACCACAACGTTTTAGAAACTCCAATATGTATGGGCGTGCCTCGTGTCTGTCGAGTCGGGGATGTCCCCCCCGACGGGGACCCCGCCTGACCTCACAATAACTATGACCACCACCATCGCTATCAGTATCATCACGACCATCACCCTCACAATTACCATCACCATCATTACCAACCTCATCATCATCCTGCTCCTAATCATCACCTTCATCAAAATTCGCATCCTCCTCCTCCTCCTCCTCCTCCTCCTCACCATCACCGTCATCGTCGTCAACACAGTTCGCATCATTAGCATACTCATCAGTACAAACAACATCATCACAACAACCACCAACATCATCATCATCCCCATCATGATCACCATCATCACTACCGCCATCATCACTATAATCATCACCAATGCCACCATCATCATCAACATCACCTTTACCATCGCAATCACAACCACTATGTACCATCATCACCATCATTATCGCTAGCATCACCACCACCCACCACCACAACACCCAGCATCATCATAATGAGTATCATCAACACCATCACCATCATCATCAGCATGATCAGGATCATTATAATCATCGTCGGCGTCGTCATCATAAGCATCATCGTCATCAGCATCATCATCATCATCATCATCGTCGTCGTCGTATTCATTATCGCCGTCGGCATCATACTCATCATCATCGTCGTCATCGTCACCATCAACATTCATCATCATTATCACCATCGTCTTATCACCATCGTCGTCATTATCATCAGACAGAATCGTCTTCGTCGTCTTCGACGCCGTAGTCGTCGTCATCATCATCATCAGGGTCGGGATGAGAATTATCGTCGTCGTCGTGTTCATCATCAGCATGATCAGGGTCAGGATCATCATCATCATCATCATCGTCGTTGTCGTCATCATCGTCATCATCGTCGTCAGCGTCGTCGCCATCATCCTCATCATGATCAGGATCATCATCAGCATCATAATCATTGTCAACATCGTTATCATCATCATCGTCATCTCGTTGTCGTCGTAATCAGAACCACAACCACCAGGGTCAGAATCATCATCACCAACATCATCAGACTCGTCGGCGTCGTCATCATCGTCATCATCGTCATCATCATCGTCGTCATCATCATCGTCATCGCCATGCATGAACAGGATCCTGATCGTCATCATCATCGTCGTTATCATCATCATTACCATCAGCATCATCAACATCAACATCATGGTCACCATCATCATCGTCGACGGCGTCATCATCACCACCGTCACGGTAGCCTGCGTCATCATCATCATAATGGTCATGATCATGATCAGGATCATCATCATCGTCTTCGTCGTCGGAATCGTCCTCGTCTTCGTCGTCATCATCAGCAGTATCAACATCAGCACCAGCATCATCAGCAATATTATGATCCTCATACGCATCATCGTCATATTCATCTTCATCTGTATCTTCATCATCAGCATCATCACCATCAGCATCACCATCAGCATCAGCATCAGCATCAGCATCAGCATCAGCATCAGCATCCTCATCCTCATCCTCATCCTCATCCTCATCCTCATCCTCATCCTCATCCTCATCCTCATCCTCATCCTCATCCTCATCCTCATCCTCATCCTCATCCTCATCCTCATCCTCATCCTCATCCTCATCCTCATCCTCATCCTCATCCTCATCCTCATCCTCATCCTCATCCTCATCCTCATCCTCATCCTCATCCTCATCCTCATCCTCATCCTCATCCTCATCATCATCATCATCATCATCATCGATACCCCCCTCGACGGGGACTCAGCCTGGCCTCCCCGGCGGCATCACCGGCGGCAGCCTGCTCGGCTCCTCGACCGGCTGCTCTCCCACACCTCCAGCTGGCTCCGGACGTTCCCGGGCACGGCGAGGCCGCCGTCCTCCCGCCGCTCCCGCGCGCGCGGGTGCGCCGCGCTGTCCAGGTAGCGGACGATGTTCTCCGCGCGGATGCCGCGCTTCATGGCGCGCAGCGCCGTCTCGGCGGACAGCTGGCCTCCCGACTCTCCGACGCCATGAGATGCTTTCCGTCCCGGCGTCTTGCCCCGATTTCGGCCCCGGGGGCAGAGGCAGAGCTGGGCTCGGGGCGCCAGGCTACCCACAGGCAGGCGGTCGGGACCTCTGGGGGGGCGGAGGCCAGGCTTGCCATGGCCGACAAGCCGCCTGGTCCGGATTGCCGGGTGGACCTGGCCGGGAGCACGCGAGCATCAACCCCGGGCGAGGGCGCCTGCCTAGGCCCCGGAAGCCGTTCCGAGGTGTGCAGCTTTGGCCACCCTTCGGCCGACGACCAGGTTGGGCAGCTGCGTGGAGATCTTGCAGAAGACGCCCAGCAGCGAGGCTGAGGGAAGACAATGCTGCATTGAGCATCAGACTTCGGAACTCCGCGCGGATCTCCTGGATCTGCGCTGGGCCCCCACCCCCGTCTGGCGCGCTGAGCGCGCCAGGGGCGGCGCTGGAGGCGCCGCCAGGGGGTCCAGCGGAGATCCAATAGAGCACCGTGGAACTCGGGAAGGTTGTGCTGATGCCGCCTTGTTCTTCCTCCAGAAGCGTGCAAGGCGCTCGAGGTGTATGCGTACACCTGGGCGACGAGAAGCAACGGATCTTACGCACGATGGCCTAGCCTTCCGTGCAAGGTACCGCGCGGGCCGCCAGCGCGGCACCGTACATTGGAGACGAGAGCGCCTGCGCGCAATCTTACGCGGGCAGCTCACGCGCGAATGTCCGCGCAGACGAGTCGATCCCGTTTCTTCCGCCGCTCGCCAGCGCCGCCGCCGCCGCCGTCGTGGCCGTTGTCATCGTCTTAAGTCGGGCCTGTCCTCCTACAGGAGGATTTGGGACGAAAAATGAAAAATAGTCAAACAAATACCCAATTGGTCAACAAATACCAACAAAATCGTCCCCAGGCTATAATTGACTATTTTTGTCTACTCCTCCTGTAGAGGCCGACTTAATCGTCGTCGGAGAAGCATACCTTGAAGTTGCTCTCCACGACGATGCCGCACTCGGTCGCCCGCCCGCCCTCCGGGGTGGACCACCGCCTCTGGCAGCTCGGGTGGTACAGGTGGGGCTGCAGGCCTGCCGGCCCGGCCGCAGCTCGGGAAGAGCCGTGACCAGGGGGCCGCATGCGAAAACCCGACCCCTGCCCCCAACTATTTCTGAGGGGGAGGGTGGGGTTCACTTCGCTCGCGAGCTCCCGAACGAAGAGAACCCCACCCTCCCACTCAGAAATCGTGGGGGGTAGGGGTAGGGTTCGCATGCGGCCCCCTAGTGCCACTCACCCCCCAGGGGGGAGCCCACCTGGAGGAACATCAGTACCCACGCAAAGCACCCTGGCTAGTAGTAGCAAAGGTGCTGAGGCGCGTCGACACGACAAGTCGGCGATAGGGGGACAGGGGTGGGAGCACGGACCTGTGCAACTTGCTCTACATGTTTTACACGGCGTCGCGATCGACCAGACAAAAACTGTGGCCGGCAGTGGGGCGAGATAAGCACTAGTCCTTAATCATGTGTGAGGGAGTCTCAAACGAAACGGCAGCCAGACCAACCGATCTCGGGGAATGGTCTCAGGAGTTCCGTCCCCCCTGTGGGACCCTTCTGTCCGGTCTACCTCTTGCAAGATCCCCCCGGCGACGCGCTAGGAAGGATCAAGGTCGACGCTGGCTTTCGGAGGTGCACGCGTCTCGAGTCGGCGCTGGACCCCACTGGCGGGCGGCTCCAGCGCCGCCTCTGGAGCGCCCGGCACTCCATGAGGGGGCGCAGCGCCGACGCGAGAAATCCGCGCGGACCTCCGACATGTTCTGCTCATGCAGCTCGATCGCCGCATCGACGATCTCTCCGGAGCGAGGTCGAAACCGAGGGGCTCACCAGGGGGATAAGCGAGAACCGCAGCTCCTGGCTACACACACAAGAGTGACCCCAGGCATGAATGACCTCTGGTGCGCGGCTTTCGGGGGGGTGGGGGGTGCGGGGGGCGCGCCAAACCCAGGCGCGCAAGACGCTGCTATCGCATCGCATTCAGCGGTCTGGGGACCCCAGCGGGCCCGCACCGCAGGGCACTCTGGCGAAGGGTCGCTCGCACGAGACATCAAGACTCCCCTAACCGTGGACGGTCCGGCCTGGGTCCGCCGGGGAGCCCGTGATGCTCCGCGACAGGGCGGAGCTCGCATCGCGGCGGAACATGGCCGCCGCTGCGGGGGTGGCGAAGTAGGTCGCCCCGCCGGGGCCCGTGGGGCCAGACAGCACCCCGATCTCCGCCAGCATCGCCGCGAAGCCCCCCTCGTCGGGAGGGGGAACGCATCCACCACGCAACCGAGCCGCCGCAAGCTTTCGGTCGGGCATGTCCTCCTACTCCTACGGGCGGCTTGTGGAGGTAAAAACAGAAACTGTGAAACACAACCAGAACTGATCAAATATAGTCGAACAATCGTCCCCAGACTATTTTTTGACTATTTTTGAATCGTCCTCCTGTAGAGGGACGTGCCCGACTCAACTCGAGCTCCGGGCGCCCAGATCTCGGCGGGTGCTTGGCTGCCGACCAGGCCGACAAGGCCGCAGCCCGCCAAGATCGGAGCCCGGCCCGGAGCTCCGACTGCGTGCTTCTTGGTGCACGACCGTGGCGCCGGCGCATCCCAAACAGCTGCTCGACGGTGGACAAGCCTCCCTTTAGCAAACTTCTTCAGTGAAAACGGCCTGGGACCGAAACCGACGGACCTGGACCCGCCAAAATGACGGCCGCGACACCCTCTCGCGAAGCGAAAACGGCCAACTCGCTAATCGACGCGTCAGGGTAGGAGGTCTAGCAACCTCCGTGCGGCATGTTCGTATCGAGCCGACTTCGGCGATCGTTCCCGACACCGTGGGGATCGTTCAACCTTGGACGATCGGCTGTTTCCGAAACGTCGCATCGCTCCACACCGACCGATCCTGGGTCGCTGGCGCGATGTTCAGCGTCGAACGCCGGCGGCGGGGTCGTCGACGGTCGACACGACGCGAACATACGTGCAGCCATGGGCCAACTCGTTCTCCATTCTTGGCTTTTTCTATGGCTGGATCTGATCAGAAACCTGGCCCGCAATGCCCTGTTCCCTGGTGCGCTGATTCGAAACTCTCAGCCCCATCCTGGATCAACCGGTTTCTCGCCGCTGGTGTTCTGCTGCGGCCCCCCCATGCAGACATCAGATGTCTTACTTTCAAGATGGGGACCCTGCAGTCCTGAACATACACTTTCCCGACTGATGGGAAGAGAACCCATGTGAGCATCGCTGAGACGACCCCCATCGCCACTGGAATCGCCATGACCGCACTGGCCGACTTACCCCTTCGGTGGCAACTCATGGGAGCCTCCCATACCATCTTGTCGGCTCTTGCGAATCGACGCCAATCGACACTACATCGACGCGAATCGACGCAACCGACGCTAAATCGGCGCTATCTCGACTCCCAAACCATAAACAAGGCTAGCCGACGCTGAAGACGGAATTGCGAGGGTACACAAGGCTCCCATGACTTGCTACCGAATGCCCTCCTGGGTGGGGAGATGTGCCGTTTTCTGCGGGGCTCGCAGGGCCGTTCCACAAATGGTCGGGGGGGATGGCCGGTGGGGCCGAGGTGCCCCGGCCCCATGGGGAGAGGGATCTGCTGAGCATGGGCGGGCACCAGACGATTCTGCGAGTGCACATTTTCTCGAACCCCGGGCTCCACCCATGACCTCCTGCCACTGAGGACTACTACGAACCGTTGATACGTCGCGCTTGTGTGCTGTCTGTTCCAGCCACGCCGCTTGCTTGGAGCATCCCCCTGACGCGCACCTCTGCCTCAGCTACTCGAGACAGCTCCGACTCCAACAAAGTTTCTGCAGGTAGCTGGCCCTGGAGCTGGATCTGAAGGTCTTGCAAAAGCTGCTTGGACTCCGCGAGCTGCTTGCGCAGCTTGGGCTCTGTAAGCTGTTCGAGCACCGCAGCTGTTGTGTCGCGAGCCACGGCTGTCCAGAATGAATTATCAAGCTCGTGACCACACGCAAATGTATGGTAGCCATGGGCTGCAGCAGCCGCATCTCCAGGCGGGACGATGGTCAGTGGCAGGGTGAACTTCACTTCGTCGCAGCCACCAAATACTGCGGCCACGATGCTTGCGATCCAGAGTTGAAACTCAGCAAGGAAGTCTTGCAATCGTTGTTTCGTCTTGAATTCGACACGCCTTTCACCAGATCCTGCATGTTTAGTCCAAGTTGAATTGCTCTTATACGCTGCAGCAATTGCCAAGGACTGGGGTGCTGGATTCTTCCAAAAACCATCTGTCACAGACTGAGGTGTCATCTTGCTGTAATCTGTCATGCTCAACCAGTCACATGCGTCATCTACCTGGCTCCTGGCCGGCAATGCCGCCTGAAGCTCCGACATAATGTTATCTCGCATGCCAGAAACATCGTCCATCCGTTTCTGGATATCTGTTGCCATTGCCTTCAGCTTTTCAACCGGCACACGATGGAGCTCAAGCTTGCGTTTGAGAGCATCTCTTTGCTCAGACAGCTTCTGGATCACACGATTGACGATGCTTTCACTCAAAATGTTCGGCCACTCCTCAGAGAGGTGCAATGAAAACATCTTGTGGAAACCAGCATTGTCGGAAAAATCCTGGAGGTACTGGGCATGAACTACATCACGCAACTTTACGCCAGACATCGCAGTTCGAGCAATCTTTGGGGACATGTTCACGTTCTGGCAGATCCACACCTGTGCCCCCAGGCACGGCGGGGCGTGGTAGACTGCATAGACCTCTCTGGAAGGGTCTCTTCCCCCCCCAAAAAAAGGAAGGGGCCCTGGGACACACAAATAAATACACACAAATAAAAAGATTCCCCATATTTTCCCATATTTTCTTGGTTTTTGTCTTCCCCACCACTTCCCATATTTTCCCATATTTTCTCGGGGATCGACAATGAATTGTGTCTGTGTGTTTCTTTCCCTCCTGAAAAAAGGCAGCCCTGCCCTGATCGCATCCAGCTGCATGCATTCGCCCCCTCACCCGAGGCTCCCTGGGCGCCCCGGTGCTTCCTTGCCAGACTTCACTGCTCCCAGGACGCCCGCAACAAGTGGCTTCCAAGACGGCCAAATGCGGGCAAGGCCGCCAAGATGCGGTAAGATGCCACCAACTCGGCGTGGCGTGGTCCCAGATGGCACGGCCCAACAGGCCTCCAAGACAGCAGAAGAGGCCTCCAAGAGAGCCTCCAGCGAAGCCCGATGACGCCAAAAGCAATGATCCCCGTTTGGTTGTCAATGGATGTTAGCACTCTCTCCTTGTCGGGCTTCCGTCGGCACAAGACGGCTCGAGAGGAATCCTGGATGGCCCCACTACGGCCCAAGAGGGCCTCAAGATAGCCGACGAGGCCTCACAGATGGCCTCAAGACAACCAAACAGAGCCCCTGGACAGCCCGGGGGAGGGGGCAAGGCAGCCCAATCTGACCCCTGGACGGCCAAAGACGGCCCCAGGAGACCCCCCAGACGGCCACAAAGGCTTAAAGGGAGCCCCGAGACGGCCCATGAGAGCAGCCTCAAGACGGCCCAGAAGAGGTCCATCAGAACTCCTCGGGATATTAAACGATCTGTATCACATGTGACGGATCTCCTATACTTATGTTTCCTCCTTTCCCTCCTCCTCCTCCTCAGAAGAAGAAGAAGAACCACCACCATGCTCGTCCTCACCCTCCTCCTCCGCCTCCTCCGCCTCCTAATCCTCCTCACTATCACCATGCTACGCATACGCCCCGTCAGCTATGATCCTCCTCTTTTCATCCTCACTCTCACCCTAGTCGCCATCATCATCGTCATCGTGATCATCATCGACGCGAGCAACTGATACTGATAATGCTGGGCTGACAGCGTGGCGATACTTGCCGCAGGCAGCTGGATTAGCCTCAGCTCGTTGACTAGCCTGGGGTTGTCCCACACATCATCAGATTCATCTTCATGGCCCTGCTCCAAGCGCTGCGGGAAGACCTTGCTGCACAGGCGATAAGCAAGCATCGAGCGGGCACTGACAAAAAACGTGCGCCCTGTAACCTGGAGCGGTTCAAGGTTGGCCAAGATACTTGGATGGTCGTCTAAGTAAGCTGCAGCGCTGTGCCTACAATCTTCGTCGTCGACTGCGTTGATCACGAACGCACCACGTCTTCTTAATGGCGGCTGCCCCCCAAACAGGGCATGGGCGTCGTATCTGTTTCGCAACGACTCCATCTTCTCGCTCCGAGTTGCACACACAACTAACGTTGAGCGCTGCATTTGCAAGCGCAACATGTTTCTAATTGCCAAGCCGACGAACACCCCCTCAAAAGATGATGGCGTGCCCCCATCATCATCATCTGCATCCGCCTTCTCGCTCCCTCCGGGGCAATCAACGAGCACAAAATCTGTCAGGAAAAGCACATGCGTGTCTCGAGGGACGGATATGCGCACGTGCCAATGTTGAAGGTCTTCCGCATCAGCATCGTACGCACTCAGCTCGGCCAGGTCCTGCATCTCACGAAGCCTCTTGCGCACTACATCGTTGATGATTCTCAAAGCTTGGAAGGTGGCCTCGCGCGTCAAAGATGCGCCGAGGGATGGCGACGCAGGCGATGCGCCAACTAATTCTTTGACTCCCTTGCCACCTACGTTGAGGGAGTAGCATTCTGCTTCAGTCAAGACGTACTCCACTGGGAGAACCGTATTGGGCACTGAATCCGAAAAAGCAACCAACTGGCCAAGCAGCGCATTGGCCAACGTAGTCTTGCCAGCATTGCTCGTGCCAACCAACACCACCCTGGCCGGTCTTGCTGCACTCTCTCGGCAATCCTGCATGCACTGCTCAACGAAGGCCCTGTCCACATGCGTTTCCTGAAGTATATGATCTAACGCTCCCACAATTGTCTCTGCCCTATGCGCCGCCTCTGATTCGTGCACCCTCCGCGACTTGTTTTGCATGATGGGTGAGGACGAATGCTGCACAATGGATGGACCACTAATCGCTGCAAGCTTGCCTCCATGCTATACCTGAGGATGAGCAGCCCATGGACATAAATAGGTGATATATCCTCCAGACTTGAACCGAAACCTACTTCAATGATTGGACCATCTGGATGAAAAAAAAACAGATTCGAAAAACTTGGCACTTGCCCTCAACGCTTTAAGATCTAACCCATCTCTCGAGCCTGTTGCACAATTATCAGTCCCAGCGGCTTGTCAAGTTGTCTTGAACTTTCATGCTTGGCTCCTGGCCCTTCACCCCCCGATCGGTAGTCCGTCCTTGGGGCTCCCCCTCGCGAGCCCCTGAGAAGCTTAGCTCTGGACTGAAGGAATGCCGCCAGCACAGAACATTACCAGCTCTGAACGCAATATTCTGAACCTTCGAGAGAAAAGCACTTAGAACAACGACCTGGGTGTGCGCCACCGTGACGAGCGACGGCAGGAACGCAGCAGAGCATCAGCGCCCACGCCCTGCTGCCTTCCACCCAAGAGGGCCCCAAGACGGCCAAAAGAGGCCCACAAGACGGACCGCGAACGCGCGAAACGACCCAAGACTGCCCTGAGACGGCCCGAACAGCCCCAACGAGGTTACATAACTAATAAAGCACACAAAAGGCCTCCGACAGGCCATCAACAGGCACCCGGGAATCCTCAGGAGGCTCTCGAGAGGTCCGTGTACGCTGCCTCTGGAGAAGCAAAGGCATGATGGGGAGGAAGAAGAGACAAGGAAGAATACGACGTCGACAGTCCCTCCTCCTCCTCCTCCTCCCCCTCCTCCTCCTCCCCCTCCTGATGAGAGACACGCCGACCTGACGCGGAAGAGCGAGCCACTTGCACGTAGCGCGCCACCCTTCTTTCGGCTACACGCAGGAATGACCCTGGGTTAGAGTGACCTTTGGTGCGCGGCTTTTTGGGGGCCGCGAGGAGACCAAACCTGGGCGCGCAAGCCGCTGCTGCCGCTTCGTTCTCAACCATCTGGGGGCCCATCTGTGCCCGCACCAAAGGTCACTCCAGCGAAAGGTCACTCTTACGTCTCGTCGATTCTTAGTAGCGTCGGGCCCCTCGGTGCGGCGCAGGCCTTCGCATCGCACAGGGCAGCGGCTCCCTCCAGCCCGGGGAAAGCGAGGTGGCCCAGGCCAACGGCCTCCCCGCGCGCTCCCCGGAGAGTCACCGCCCAGGGTGCGCTGGGCTGGCGCGGCGGCGGGGCCGATACCCCCCCCCCGACAAGAACACACCACGACAGGAAGGAGCAGGAAGAGAGGAGGAGGAGGAGGAGGGAGGAGGAGGAGGAGGAGGAGGAGGAGGAGGAGGAGGGAGGGCTCCGGCCTCAGCTTTGCTCTGCGCGTCGAGCTCCAGGGGCTGCCCGATCTTCGCGTCTCCCAGCAGCAGCACCGTCCTCGGATAGGGCCGGCCAAGCTACGGGCGACGCTCGATGGGATCAGCAGCGTCGCACCCGCCGGCACTTCAAAAGCACATGAGAAGCCCTAGGGCAAGCCTACTCACCGTGCGGGGAACGCTGTGTCAGGACCGAAGGGGCTGATCTGGCCACGGCGACCCACGATCTTGCATAGATTCCCCGACCCATCTCAGAGTGGGGGGGGCCGAACGGTCTTACACCATCCCTGGGTGCGTACCTGAAGTAGATTTCCGCTGTGAGGGTTTTCGTTGTTGCTGTTGTTGAAATCTCATGTCCGAAGAATAGATGTGTTTGATCACCTCCTCCTGTGTCCATTATGTTTTTCACCTAACAGCTTTTGCTGATAGGTTTCTAGTGGTGTCAAAAGAGAGCATCTGGACTCCACAGGGGGGTCTGGGCGGGTGCCGGGGAGGAGGGCCGGGAACAGAGCCGGGCTCGTTTTAAGCCAACAGTCACACACTTCGTGCTCTTCGACCTCCCAGAACTCCACTCCCGGGCCACGTTTTGAATAACTGGGGCCAACTGTAGGCCACTTCGTGCTCTTCGACTTCCCAGAACTCCATTCCCGGGCCACATTTTGGATGCCCGGAGCCAACTGTAGGCCACTTCGTGCTCTTCGACTTCCCAGAACTCCATTCCCGGGCCACATTTTGGATGCCCGGAGCCAACTGTAGGCCACTTCGTGCTCTTCGAGTTCCCAGAACTCCATTCCCGATTTTGGCCAGCCAACTGTAGGATGCCCGGAGCCAACTGTAGGCCACTTCGTGTCTTCGAGTTCCCAGAACTCCATTCCTGGGCATGATTTTGAATGCCCGGAGCCAACTGTAGGCCACTTCGTGTTCTTCGAGTTCCCAGAATTCCATTCCCGGGCCACATTTTGAATGCTGAGGCAGGCTGAGGCTGAGGCTGAGCAGGCTGAGGCTGAGGCAGGCTGAGGCTGAGGCCGAGGCTGAAGGCAGACTGAGGCTGAGGCTGAAGCAGGCTGAGGCTGAGGCTGAGGCAGGCTGAGGCTGAGGCAGGCTGAGGCTGAGGCGAGGCTGAAGGCTGAGGCTGAGGCTGAAGGCAGGCTGAGGCTGAGGCTGAGGCAGGCTGAGGAGGCAGGCTGAGGCTGAGGCTGAGGCTGATGCAGGCTGAGGCTGAGGCAGGCTGAGGCTGAGGCCGAGGCTGAAGGCAGACTGAGGCTGAGGCTGAAGCAGGCTGAGGCTGAGGCTGAGGCAGGCTGAGGCTGAGGCAGGCTGAGGCTGAGGCCGAGGCTGAGGCAGGCAGGCTGAGGCTGAGGCTGAAGCAGGCTGAGGCTGAGGCTGAGGCAGGCTGAGGCTGAGGCTGAGGCTGATGCTGAGGCAGGCTGAGGCTGAGGCTGAGGCTGATGCAGGCTGAGGCTGAGGCAGGCTGAGGCTGAGGCCGAGGCTGAAGGCAGACTGAGGCTGAGGCTGAAGCAGGCTGAGGCTGAGGCTGAGGCTGAGGCTGATGCTGAGGCTGAGGCTGAGGCTGAGGCAGGCTGAGGCTGAGGCCGAGGCTGAAGGCAGACTGAGGCTGAGGCTGAAGCAGGCTGAGGCTGAGGCTGAGGCAGGCTGAGGCTGAGGCAGGCTGAGGCTGAGGCTGAGGCAGGCTGAGGCTGAGGCTGTGACTGCGACTGCCGTTGCCACTGCGACTGTCATCGCGAATGCGACTACGACTGCGAGAACAGCAGAATTCTACAACTGGATTCTCATCCGAATCTTAAGGGGAATGCTTCCAGATATGCTCCTACACATCGCTGTTAGGTTGCTTTGCCGGGATAATTTTGAATTGATCGCACCCTGCTCTCTACAAGAGAAAGTCATGAGGCTCAGACTAGGCTCCCCGAACAACAACAATCACTGAAGACGGCTCGTTCTTATCTCCCCGCGCTCAGACGGCAAACGAGGGCCCCGGGGCCCGCAACGGGGGTCACGCGCCCGACTCCATTGAAAAACGCCAAGACCTGAGGTCAGCGCGCCGACGTCGGCGGCGAGCGGCGCCGTCCTCAGCGGCCCGGCGTGCTGCCCCGAGCCCTCGTCGCGCTGGCGCCCAAGGAAGGCGAGCACCAGCGCCCACAGCTGCTGGTGCCGCTCCTGCATGCCGGGGCGGGTCGCCGCCCTCTCGCGCGCTGAAGGGCTGCGGAAAACCAAGAAGCAGCGTCCCTAGCCTTGAGGACGCACAGAACGACAAGGAGCACGACGTATGGTGTCTTCCACTGCCTTCGTATTGCGGTGCATGGCTCTGCAACGCGTGAATGACTCTGCTTTGCTCTTCGCGTCCTTACTCCAACTCTAGCTCAAGATTCCGAGCTCCGCGTGCGAGTCGGGAGGGGATGCAGAGAGAGGCGAAGACAAAGCGCCAACCAGCATTACCAGAAACCCGGATTCTGTGACGTGCATCTTGCTCTGCAGTGCGTCTCCTCTGGTATATCGTGCTGCTCTTAACATCCCAGTTTGAACTAGTGAGGGGGCCTACAAAAGGGCATACGCGCCCAGCTAGGTGCATGAACGCGGCCCCTCGATCCGCGAGACTGGCCGCGTCATGCGAACATTTGCGCAATGCGTACTCTCGAAACCAGAGTGGATTCATGTACGTGTACGTCCCTCTTTCGCTCCTGACAACTGGATTGATCCTCCAAAGGGAGGGAGGTTGTCTGTGGCCTCATGCGTGTCCACCTTTCCATGGGGGGGTGGGGGGGGTGGGGGCATTGGCACCCTTCCGTAGAAGTCAAGACGCAACCCCTGAGAGGGGGCCAGTGAGCTGGATGTTGCCCCGATTGAGGCCGATACAGGGAAGAGGCTCAATGGGATCAAGCGGAACTGAGAGGGGCTCGGTCATGATTAGGCTGGCGGACTCCGGGCATCGCGTGAGAGTCGGGAGCGGCTCCGGGGAGCTCCAGGGAAGGCGCGGCACCTGGAGCGCCCGCCAGCACGGCCAACCGCACAGAAGGGCTGTGCTGTTGGCATGCCTCTGTGCGGCTTGCACGGTCTGTTGGCTGCCTGGCTGGCCCTTCGCATCCGTGCTCGACTTTGAGCTGAGGAGTTCAAGCTTCGGACGTAAGTCGGGAGAGGATTTAGAGGGGCTCAGGGAGGGTGTGGTGTCCAGAGCGCCAACCAGCCTGATCCGAATATCTTCTTTTGTCGCAATGCTGATGGCTGCTGCGCTGCACCCGTGTTTCAACGGCGGCTTGTTGTTGCTCTTCGCATGCCCGCTCGATATCCTGCTTAGGATCTGGGGCTTCACGTGTCAATTGTCGACGCCCTCCAGGAAGTTGCTCGCCCATGTTAACCAGAGCATGCCCACCTTCACCCATCCTGTCATCTTTCGAAAAAGGAATGGCGCATCCTCGGAATCCTGGCGTCAGATTTTTCGAGACGGGCGTGATATCAGTTTCAGGCACCGGGACCCTCACTGATCGATCCAACTCGAAAGACTGCATAGAAAGATGGGGTGCGAGACTGTGGTCGTGATGCTTCAAAATGCTGTGTTGTTCTCGCTACGTCGAATCTCTCGGGTTTGGTGGAAGTCACGCGCGACGCCTGATCAATTCTAGTGGAATTCGTCCTGCGCTGATCAGAAGAAGGACTGGAGATGTTCATGGAGGCAAACCGGTATTTCAACTGATTGTTGTCTGCGCCGACTTCTTTCACTGCATGCTGTTTGCTATCCGCATTCCTGCTCGACCATCGAGCTCAGAATTCCTCGCTTCGCATGCGAGTCGGCCTCTTGGGGCTGTCTGGGGCCAACATTGTTGCCCGATGTTGCCGTCCTGCTTGCCCCGCTGGCGGAGAAGGCATTGCAATGCCTCTGCGTTGTGTTGCCTAAGGCATGCGCTACAAACTGTGCCTGCTCTCTGCACCCCTGCTTGAACTCAGGATCTAAGATCCCTGACTTCGCGTGCGAGTCGGCAGAGGCTTTCTGGGAGCCGCCATGGGCTCATCTTGTGGAACCCTCAGATCCTCATCGGCCGTCCCGAGATGAGCACGAGGACAGGGGGGTATCCGCAGGAAGAGCAGCCACCGCATAGTCGGCGGCGGTTACATCACCGCCACCAATGCGAGGGGTGGGGGGGGGAAGACACATTTCGAGAAGCGAGGAGCCTGCATCAGCAGGCACATGCGCCACCGTGCCGTAGGCACTGTGTGGAGTGTCGTCAGGTCCCGTTGAGTCGTGTGTAGTGGCCCGAGAGACCCACTACCTGCACGTTTACTACTACGACCCAGCCCGGAAGATCCAGGATCCTGCGGGCTGGGTGGGAATGGTCTCAGATCCACATGTCGGGTACGAAGGAGCACGTGTCCAACGTTTGTTGTTGTTCAACTGTCTGGAATGCCCCCCATTGGGACTGTACAGCAGATTGGCCCCTCCGGGCTGGGTGGCGGTGGTGGTTTGGTGGATAATGAAGATCGGGATTCCCAGGGCTCCCCGCAGGGCTCTTGGGGCAAGTCGCATGCCCTTCCCATACGCCTCGGGAGTGTGATTCGGGTTCCATACTTGCACATGGCCTGAGATGTTCTATGAGTAACAACAAAATTGTGCTTATCGATCCTAGCGACGCCCATGACGGCCCAACAGGCCCCCTGACCCCACATGGCCCCAGACATGCCCCCACCAGGGGGAGCTGGAGCTGACAATTCGAGACTCATACCCCAACATGGCCTCCGAGATAGCCAGGACGCCCCGACAACGTCGAAATGTTTGACGTCCCTCTCTCTCCTCGCCACTCCCGTCTAAAGACCTCCAGAAACCCTCGGATGGATGTAAGAAATTCTTCCAAACCTCAGAGAAGCTTGAAAAGTATTATGCTTCTTCTTCACTCCCGTCAGCCGCCAGCGCCGCTGACTGCCCAGGGCCCACAGGGCAGCTTCCCAAAGACCGACGGCCCCCGAATCCCACCACCCCTGTGGAAGTAGGTGGTTTAACGAGATTTGTCTTGTCTCTGTCAACATCCCGCAGTAGAGTCCCGAAGATGGCCCAAAATGGCGCCAAGAGGGCCTCAGAGGGCCCACGATGGCCTCCAAGATGGTCCAAGATGCTTCATCGTGGCTCAAGATAGCCTCCAATACCTCCAAGGCGCCCCTATACGGCTCCAAGACGGTTCAATTACCATCCGAGCCCCTCAAGGACCCCCCCGAAGGGCCAAAATGGCCTTAAAAACTAAAAGAGAATTAGTGTTGGATGTCTTCTCGCCTTTGCGCCTTCGATTGGCCTAGGAGGCCCCAAGATGGCTCCAAGACGGCCCCAAAAAGAGTCCCAAGGGGGGCCCAAGAGGACCCCGAGAGGGCCCCGAGAGCACCCAAGACCGCCCCGAGAGCGTCCAAAGAGGGCACCAAGACCGCATGTTTGAGCCTCCCAGGGGGGGGGCCTTCTTTTGAGCTACGGGGGCCACGGCGGCCATAAGAAACCTCTGAGACCCGCCCAAAAGGCCCAATGAGGGCCCCAAGATGGCCCAAAAAGAGCCCCGAGAGGGCCCGAAAAGGATCCCAAGAGGGCCCTAAGAGAGCCCCAAGATGGCTCCAAAAGACCTCCGAGAACGAACCTCTGACAACAACACCTCCTCTCTACCTCCGGTCTTGGATGGGCTGGTGGGGACACTTTTTTGATCGCGAGCGCGCCGGGAGACGCCGGACGCCGTCAAAGGTCGTAGCAAACAGGCTACGGGCGAATTGCGCACCAGGGAACTGGTGGGGACACTTTGTCGTTCGCGAGCCCAAGCGGAGGAGCCGCGCGCCGTCAGGAGATTGCCGACTAGCAACGATCGGGGATGGACAGACCCCCCTTTAGTAAAACGTGGTTTAGTGAAAACGACCTGAGGCCTAAACCTGGCGGGCGCAAGCCTGGAACATAACGGCCACGGCGCCCTCTCGAGAACCGAAAACGGACAATTCACTAATCGACGTGTCCCTGTTGGGGGTTCTGTCCATCCCCGAAACGACCTATACTGGTGGGGACACTGCAATTAGTCAGCGGCCGCGGGCGAGCGCGCCAGCTGCGAGTCCAGGCAAAGCGGGGCCAGCAGCGACACATTCACCTAACCGAGAAGCACGCTGCCACCCTCGAGGGGGGAAGGCCCACTGGCCAGGCCGAGGCGGGGTGGAGAGATCTCGGCATGGCCGGGGCTCCTCCTCGAGGAGAAGCTGCCTGGCCGAGCCCGAGGAGCCTCCTCCCCTGCCGGCCCGCCTGCGCTCGGGATGCCCCTTCGCCTGCCTCTGCTGCTCGAAGGATTGCAAAGGATTGCAAAAAAATCCTTAGTTTTTTGCAATCCTTCGTTTTTTTGCAATCCTTCGTTTTTTTGCAATCCCCCCTCGAGGCAGAGTGCCCTCCTCGTCGGCGGCCGCACCTCTGTCTGGGCGGGTGCCGCGCGGTCTCCGGAGCTCCCCCGATCTGCGGGGCGGTCCCGCTCGGGGTCCCGCGCGGGACGGGGGTGGACTCGCGGGCTGTGGGGAACTCGGGCAGCGAATCCGCTGGCGCGCGCGGAGCTCGCCGAGACGCTGTTCGAGAGCCTGTGCCGAACACAAGCCGTGCTCACCTCAGGTCCCCCTGTCCCACAGGTGGTCCGCTCCGCTTCCCCCCTCCTCCTCGTCCTCCTCCTCCTCCTCCTCCTCCTCCTCCTCCTCCTCCTCCTCCTCCTCCTCCTCCTCCCCCTCGTCGTCCTTGCACAGACGAACAGGGTACGGCATGAACATAACCTGTTGTAGATCCGCGCGGGTTGCCTGGTTCGGTGCTAGACTCCGCCCAATCGCCAAGAAACCTCGCGTGGACCTCGGGAAGTCTATGTGTATGCCTTGCCTTGTTCTTCGGCCATCTTCTCCTCCACCACGTTCCCCCCCTTCCGCACCTTCCTCCTCCCTTTCCTCCCTCCTCCCCCCCCCCTCCCTGCGCCCCTACTCCTTCCCGCCCCCTCACTTCCTCCCCCCTCCTCCTTCTTGGATCTCCCCCCTCCCCCTCCCCCTTCCTTCGCCCTGCCCTGGGCCCTTCAGGCAGGGGCTCCCGCCGAAGGCCCCCCCCGTCCCCGCCCACAGGGTCCTCGAGCACGAAGCGGAACCCCGCGGATGTGAGCTGGCCTGCTCTCTGCAGGTCGAGCCTCCGGGCTCGAGGGGGGGGTGGCCGAGAGGACGGGCGGCGCCGTCACGGTGCGCTTCGGCGGCACCCAAAGAGGCATGGGGACGACTCTCAAACATGGAATCGCAGACACCCGTGTGGTTCGGCTGCGGCAGACCCTGCACCGTGCCATGCCATGGATCTGCAAAGGACTGCGAGGGATGGATCAGCGAAACGTGAGGGACTGCCAGGAACTAGACTCCCTCCTCCCTCCTCCTCGTTCCTGTTTCGTCCCTCCTCCTCGTTCCGCTCTCTCCGCGTCGCCGTCTTTCATCTCCTCTTCCTCCTCCTCTTCCCCCTCCTCCTCTTCCTCCCCCTCCTCCTCCCCCTCCCCCTCCTCCTTCCCCTCCTCCTCCTCCTCCTCCTCCTCCTCCTCCTCCTCCTCCTCCTCGTCGTTCTCGTCCTCCTCACTGCACCGCCAGGTGCCTCGCAACAACACGAAAAACGGAGGAGGGACTCGGGCGCAAGCCTCCCCGGCCCCTCCCCCTATACTCCTCCTTCCGTCATCGTGCTCCTACTTGTTGCGCTGTGCGGTGCTTCATGGCACAATGCCGCGGAAGCGCATGGCTATCTCACACCGCATCGGCCAACTACAGAGCCCGTGTGCATGTGGAACGGCGTGACCACGTGGAACGCACGCGGACCGTGTCCCAATCCAGCCCCGCCGAAGGCGCACTGCATCTTCTCCTCTGTGATCGTAGCACGCACGACAGTCTCACGTTGGGCGTCTTGAGCAACGCGGGCAGCTGGAAACCACGCGGTTCGAGACGCGCGCGGGACCCGCGGAAGCCAGCTGCTGGGTCAACGCGCAGAGGGCTGGCACACCTAGCCGAGCGAGGGCCGAGCCCTGGACAAAACCATAAAGGGCAGTTTGTATTACATGGGATGTTTAAACAAAAACATAGGATGTTTAATCCATGATTAATTTATGAATAAATCTATGCATGCACTCATCCTTGTTGTTAATACTGAATACATGCATTTCTAATGCATGATCCGCACGCGGAGCATGCATTAAAAGCGGCACTGTACGGCCACATGTGCACCAAACCCTCGCCCAGGCTGGCCACGTCAAGTGCATCATCGTGGGATGCTCTTCAAGACGGCGCCAGGACGAGGATGCATGTCGGTGAGGATAAGTCGAGAATCTCTGCGACCTGGCGGCTCTGGAGGATGTGTCGGACGCCGCGGCCTTTTCAGAGCGTTCCACGACGCTCTGGCACGGATAGATCCTCGTTGGGGTTGCCGGACGGGTCGCCGAGAGCGGTCCTCGGGGTCTCTCGAACTCCTCGTCCAGCTAGGCCACTCGTGCTGCCCAGCTGTCCGCGCGGGCGCACCAGGCATTTCCACTGGAAGCCCCGCGTCCCAGCCCCGCCCAACTATCGCCGATCCCCCCCCAGAGTGATCCCCAGACTCAAGATAAAGAACCAGTGCCGAAGGGGGGGGCACCGCCGAGCGAGATCACTGGCACCCCAAACGAATAGAACAATGCTTCGGGAGGAGGGGGGCGGCAGCAGTGGGAGTACGACGAAGAAAATGGCCCAAGAGAGGCCCCACGAGTCTCGCAGACAGTCGAACTCCCTGAGACAATCTAAAAGAACAGTCAACCTCCTCCTCCTCTTCCTCCTCCTCCTCCTCCTCCTCCTCCTCCTCCTCCTCCTCCTCCTCCTCCTCCTCCTCCTCCTCCTCCTCCTCCTCCTCCTCCTCCTCCTCCTCCTCCTCCTCCTCCCCCTCCTCCTCCTCCCCCTCCTCCTCCTCATCCTCCTCCTCCTCCTCCTCCTCCTCCTTGGATGCAATGGCCTTGGAAGGCCATTTCAAAGCTTGCAGGGCGCGACGAGCGAAAGTGGCCAAGGATGGGCCGGGGAGGCAAGGATGCAAGGGTACCCTTGGGAAGGTTGCCCATCCTGACTGTGTGGGTTGACTGTAAAACATCATATGAGATGCCGCACGGGTCTCCAAGACAGTTAAGATCTCTGAGACAATCCGAAGGTCCTATAGCACGCCATCCACAAAACAAACATGGATCTGCTCGGTATTCATTGAAACACATCTACGGATAACATCGACACACCATCGGTCTGACCACACTCCTCGATCACACATACATCATCGATCCTGAGAGTCCCAGAGACTCTCTTCACTCTCAGACCACTCCGCTCGACGTCTCGACAGGGGGCTCCGATTAAAACTACGAGGCAGGCTGAACTAGAATTGTCAGGCTGCTTAAACTAGAGCAGCGTCAAGCAGTGCAAAACAATGCGAAGCAACGCGCTGCAGTGCAAAACGACGCAGTGCAACAAGGCAACGCAAGGCAATGCGAACCATGAGTGCAATGGAAATGGTTCCAAGTCCAAGGCAACGCGAAACTCCTGACCATGATCCACTGCAGAGCAACACCACTCCCCATGTGCTTTCTATGTGCAACCTGATCAACAATGCTAATTTTTTCTGTTCCCCCCCCTCCTCCGCACCCCCCTCCACCGCACCATCCGCGTCTTTTAGAACGGGTATTCTGCCCCCCCCAATTCTCTGGGCAATGGGAACATATAACATGAGCAGCCGTGTACCAAATCAATAACGAGACTTAGGCAATTTCCATCTACAACCCATGCGACCACTCTGAACCTCGCGTGGTTTTCCTGGCGATCCTGATGGGGCACTCCAGTCCCAAGAATAATGCACCACCCGCACCAATGGCGTGAATTAGCACCCGTGTTCCGAAATGTGCCCCCTTCCCCGGCACAATTCTGGTCGGTCGAGGACACGCGATCTGAGCAACAATGGAAGAAACTATTTCGCACATCGAGTACGTAAAACAAAAGAGGACAGCGCAGTGCGCGTCCTTTTCAAACTGTGGTTCTCGCTCGAGACATCTCGCGGCTAGAACAAGTCGATGCGAGCTGAAGCGTACCTTCTGCACCAGCCACGCGGATGGATGTCGGCCATTTTGGCCAATCAGGAGGTCTCAAATGGAGGACTCCTGTGGGGAATTCACATGGTGGAGTGCTTGTGGGATCTGGGATCCTCCTTGAACCCTATCAGAAGCCCTAGCAGAGTCCGATTGGGATAGTAGTTACTGGGTTCATGTTTCAAACCTGTTGGGCTCGCATTGAAACTTGACTGGGGTCATGTTGGATTGGACTCCTATCTTGGTGGGGTCCCGCACCGAGGGGCCTGGGGGAGGGATATCACTTCCAGGGGTGAGACACGATAGAATTTCGTCGATAAAGGGAGAGGGGAGTCAGCAATTGCTCCCCACGGTTACAGGCTCCTGGCCAGAAACACAAAAAGACAAATGCCCCGTTCTGGTTGGCCTCATCATTCCGGAGAAAAAGAACAAAAAACAAAAACACAGGACTGACAAGGAAAAAAGGGCGGCAGGTGTCACGAAGCACATGGCCAAAGGATTGCGAGGGGAGGACGTCGGTATTCAACTCATCCTGCGCTGCGCTGTGCCGCCCATGTCTACCCACGCTCTGTTCGCGCCTGTGCGCCTCGCGAGGGCCTCGTGGGTGTGCTCGCCCCCCCCCCTCCCCCTCTGTTGAAGGGGCCCTGGGACACACAAATAAATACACACAAATAAAAATATGCCCCATATTTTCCCATACTTTCTGGGTTTCTGCCTTCCCCCCCACTTCCAATATTTTCCAATATTTTCTGGGAATCGACGATTAATTCTGTCTGTGGCCGTGGCCCTGCGGGGCTGGCGTGGTGGAAGGGCGCGCCGGTATCCCCGCCTCTCCCCCTGCCTGTGAGCGCGGGATGGCGCTGGATCGTCGTCGTCGTCGTCGTCGCCGCCGTCGCCGCCGCCGTCGCCGTCGCCGTTGTCGTCGTCGTCGTCATCGTCGTCGCCGCCGTCGTCGTCGTCGCCGCCGTCGCCGTTGTCGCCGCCGTCGTCGTCGCTCGTCGTCGTCGTCGTCGTCGTCGTCGTCGTCGTCGTCGTCGTCGCCGCCGCCGCCGCCGCCGCCGCCGCCGTCGCTGCCGCCGCCGTCGTCGTCACTCGTCGTCGCTCGTCGTCGTCGTTTTTCCCACACGGCGCTAATGCGAAACGCGACGTGACCGGCCCACGCCCCTGGATTGAGCGGCCTCGGTGAGGCGCAGCTGCTGGGCAGCACGCCAGGGCGAAGACCTCAGGGAACCGACGGCCCCCCTCCAAAATCGATGAAAAAAACTTTCAGATTGAAACAGAAACGAGAGGATGAGGATGAGGAGGAGGAGGACGACGACGAGGAGGAGGCCGACACCCGCTTGCCGAGGGGAAAAGGCGTGCGAAACAAAGGCTGCCCCCCGTCCCCTCTCCCCCTCATAGGCACACGCGCGGCCCCTGACCCACACCCCCATCAGCCCACCAACAGCCTTTTCTTCTTCTGGGATTCACCAAAGAAGAAAAACACACAATAGAATAACAAAAACACCGCCACCAGCTAGGGGGGCTGGCCGCTCCCCCCCCCCGGGCTGGTGGCACCACTTGCCGGGCGCGCCCCCAGAGTGCCCAGAACGGAATACCACCAGCTCGGGGGGGGAGTTTTTGGGAAAGGGGTCCTCGTGGTAGTGAATAAGCGTTTTGAACGCATTCGATATTTTTTGCGATCACGGGCGTCACGGGGGGGACGGGGGGGAGGGATGACGTAACGCCCCCCCCCCCGCCGTGCGGCTCCGGCACCACAACAGCGCCCGCGCGCACGACAACGATGAGCGACGAGCGAAGGGCGACGAACGAGCTTCATTAGGGGGCGATCGGTCTGCCCCGAAACGCCTGTGTACACCACAGTGTCCACGTGCACCACAACGCGCGTGTGCACCACAGTCCCCGCGCACACCGCAACAGCCGTGTGCAACGCAGCGCCTGTGTACACCACGACGCTCGCGTGCACTACAGCGCCGGTGTACACCACAACGAATGTATACACCGCAGCAACCATGTGCAACACAGTGCCTGTTTACGCCATATTGCTCGCGTGCACCGAAGCGCCTGCAAACGCT